AAAGCCTTCCCCTGGAGCTGACACCCTGAATTTGGACTTTTAGCCTACTTTACTGTGAAGAAATAAATTTCTCTTTGTTAAAGCCATCCACTTGTGGTATTTCTGTTGTAGCAGAACTAAATGACCAAGACAGCTGGGAACCTCCACTCCTTAACTCTAGTCATTTGCCATTTTCTATCAGTTTCTTCTTCTCAGTGGCCTCTGATCTAATGCTTTTATCCCGTAATTTAAGGTTCAGGGTTCCAGGATTGACATCTGTATCTGTTTTACTTGTTTTTTTGGGTCTTTGTTGCAGAAAAAAGGCTTAGTGCATCTGACTAATCCACCATCTTGGCTCCGCTGTCCGTTTTTGACGACTTCCAATTTTCCTAGATTCATACTTTGTACACGCTACATTCCGATTATTAATGGATGTTTGAGGCTATTTCTTCTCATTTTGAGTAGTGTCACATCAGCGAATGAATGTCCTGAAAACTTTACTCCATCCATGTCATTAAGGTCGACTCTAATTTGAGGAGGCAGCTCTTGCCAGTCATATTTTGAGTGCCTTCCAACCTGAGGGGCTCATCTTCTGGCACTATATCAGATAATGTTCTGCTGCTATTCATAAGTTTTCACAGGCCAGTTTTTTGAGAAGTAGATCTCCAGTTCTTTCTTCCTAGACTGTCTTAGTCTGGAAGCTCTGCTGAAACCTGTCCACAATGGATGACCCTGCTGGTATCTGAAATACCGGTGGCGTAGCTTCCAGTATCACAGCAACACACAAGCCCTCACAGTACAACAAACTGACAGATGAGTGGTGGATTAGTTTCCTAGGGCTGCTGTAACAAATTACCACAAACTGGGTGGCTTGAAACAACAGAAATTTAGTCTCTCACGGTTATTTCTGGAGGATTAGAAGTCTGAAATCAAGGTGTCAGCAATGCCACACTCCCTTCAAAGGCTCTAGAGGAGGATTCTTCCTTGCCTCATCCAGCTTCTGGTGGCTCCAGACGTTCCTTGGCTTCTTGCAGCATCACTCCAATCTCTGCCTTCGTCTTCACATGGTTGTCTTCTCTCTGTGTCTCAAATCTCCCTCTGCTTTTCTCTTATACAGATCTTGTCATTGGATTTAGGACCCAGCTGGGTAACCCAGGATGAGCTCATCTCAAGATCCTTATCTTGTTACACCTGAAAGGACCCTGTTTCCAAATAAAGTCACATTCTAAAGTTCCAGGTGGAGGACCCCCATTCAACCTACTACAAAACCTGAGGTGGATAAACTAGAATGAGCAGGAACTTCCTTGTCACAGTATTTCCCTGTCCTTCAACCCAGTGGTGTCAAGGCTTTGGGGAGATGAAAAATTCTCCTCTCCATTAGAAGGTTGAGGACTCTCCATAAGACTTCAACTCTTCCTATACATACTAAGCCACAAAATTGATTTTACTTTGCCCTATCAATTGCCATCAAGTCGAACTTTCCTCTGGGCACACTCATTCACAGCTTACACTGGTTTAGGATTTATTTTCCTTGAAGCTGGCCTTGAAACTCAAAGGTGGATAAATGGGTTCTACTGTCTCTTCTAGTGCACTTCTAACCAAGAGAAAGTGTGAACATCTCACAGACAAGTGCTGAGGGACCTGGTGAATAGATCATGACTGAAGCTTCACTGTAAAGTGATAACCAAACAAACTGCCAGAGAAACATCATTGACTACCCCTTTGCACCAGCCTTCTTGGGAGAGGAAGAACTCTTTAAACCCTACAAAGAACCTCTCGTTGCTCTTTCTTAAAAAGATAACTATGTACATAAAGTAAAGTAAGAGTTTGTAAGTGGTGCAGAATGGTTAATACATTCATCTGCTAACCAAGAGGTGGACGTTAGAGTCCACCCAGAGGTGCCTTGGAAGAAAGGCCTGGTGATCTACTTCCAAAAACTCGGCCATTGAAAACCCAATGGAGCACAGTTCTACTCTCACAAACATGGGGTCGCCATGAGTCAGAGTCGACTCAGAGGCAACCTGTATAAGGTAAAATATTCAACAAGCACAAAAGCTAAGTCTCCCTCTCACCGTTGACCCTCCCCATCAACACCATTGCTACACCATCTCTCTAGGTGCTTGCAAGTTCTACAGAGGAGTCAGTTCCATGAAGGACACATCCTTAGAGATCCTGAACTATTTGCTGCTTTACCATAACTATCATTACTGTTTATGCAATGGAAACTCTCTACTGTGCCTCTGTGAGGTGCCCATTAGCATGGACAGGTGCTGATCCTTTTTTGGGAGAGCTAAAGTTTCATCATTTGGCTTTGAGTAATCAACACACCTCTGACCTTCCCAGAGAGACCAGGTGGCCCCTGGTTCCTACCTTAGTGTCATATGAAGCAGGGCTCTGCATTGAGCTGAGGTGAAGGGCAGGGCACCTGGGTTCTGGACAGGAACAAGGTGTATTCATGCTCAGGCTCCCTGAATGGAACACCAGGCACATAGTAAGAATCAACACCACTTTGTTGAGTGAGCAACTGAGTAAATGACCACAGGAGTCCCGCGGTGCAGAGAAATCAGGAAAGGTGGAACTGGAGGATGGCTTCCGCTCTGCAGTGGGAAGGAAGTCGGGGTCCAGGATACTTTCCTAGGATTGGGTGAGAGGCGAGGCAGTGACTGGAGTGTGAGATGAAATGAGGAAACAGGCTGGTTTCTACTCCAGGCAGGGATACACAGAGCAGGGACCACCAGCCGAGTCAGCCTACATGACTGGGCAGGCGCCTGCAGTTGCATCTCTGTGGAGTCTCGGCCCAGAAGCCCCATGCCTGGCAGGCTGTTTATTATCTTCAGTTCCATTGATTTCTGGCAACATGGCTCCCACACCACCTACCCAGTTTGGTGGAGCGGATCACCCGGGCTTGGAGGAGGAGGGTTTGCCTCCTCTTCTGTGACTGGGGGTACAGCCTGGTAGGGAGAGCTGTCAGAAGGCTACAGATGTGATTAAGATGGGTGGTGGTCCAGGGCCCAGCCTGGATGAATGTATGGGGATGTCCCAGGAGCTTGGAGCCTTTAGTGGTATACGTGCCACTGTATTTTATAATAGAATGTTTAACAGATTGTGGAATACTATCTTAGATATTTTGTATCAAGTAAAAGCTTTCTAGTTCAAGCAATAATATATGGTGAAGTTGCAAAATGCCATCAGAGGTTGTTATGAACAAAATACTTTGCAGTTTTATTTTCCATAGAAAAATCTATCAGTGGCAATTACAAATTACCTGTGCCTTGGTGTCTAACCCAAAATTGATTTTGAGCTCTGGGCAGCCTTTTTAAGGAAGCCAGGTCTACTGGTGTTTTACAGCCAAGTCACATTGGAGGTGGGATGGCTGTGACACTTCTCCCTGAGCATTTTGTCTTCTCAACCGAGGATGTCTTTGAGATCAACCCCCTCATCCCAAATGTGAGGCTACGCGTGGAGGTGTTCTGCTGTCCTCCCTCACGACAATGTGGGGAAGGTGAGGCTGAGAGAGGTCTGAGGAGGGACCTTTCACTCCCTCCCGCTGGGCTTCAGGCTGTTCTGGCCTCCAGGTTCAGCCAGGGGGCTGCAGCTTTAGCCCGGCCTCCAGGTCACCCTGGCCTCCACACCCCACCCTGGGACCCCACCAGTGGGGCCCCTCCCCCACTTCCCCTGCCTCTCCTCCCTGCATCCTGGGGCTCCCAGCAGAGCCAAGTGGACGAGGCCCTCTTGTGGGTTGGGGTCTCTCCTGCCTGTGGGTCTTCAGCCCCACCCAGTGCCACCTCCTCCACGCAGCTTGTCCTGTTCCTGCACCTCCTCGGAGCTCAGATCAGTCTTTAGTCTGCTGCTGGGAGCCCCCAAGTGAAGCACAAACTTCTTGAGAGTAGGGCCCAGCTCCAGTCCTCATCCTCCCATCCCTGTGCCCAGTGCAGGCCTCGAGTGTTTGATGAGTGGAGGGTTCACTGAATCAGATGGGACTGCCACAGCAACACCCAGGAAACTGGCTCAGGGCTGGATTCCTTTTCCCCATGACTCTTAAAGTGGAAAAACTCTGCCAGCTTGAAACACACAGACACACACACACACACACACACACACACACGAGGATAATAACAACTGCATGCCGGGCAATGACTAAGTACCTTATGTACACCAGTCCGGATATTAATCCTCATGACAACCCCATAACCACCCTGTTGTACAGATGAACAAACAAAAGCCCAGGAGGTTAATCGACTGCTCAGAGTCACACAGCTAGTAACTGATGGGGTCAGGATTTGAACCCAGGCAGCCGGCTGCCTGCTGTTAAATATTATTTTATAGTGCTTCTCAAACGATTTTCCCCCCCTTGGGTACACTTTCTCTCAAACTTTTTTTTCTTGATTGTGAATGCAAATCATGCCTATTGAAGGAAATTTATGAAATACTAAAAATAATTCAAAAATTTTACATTACCAATAACATCACCACCAAGAGATTGCTGCTATTTATATTTCACTATATCCCTTTCTAGATTTTTCTCTGCGCATATTTTCTTACCATGTTTCTGGTGGCGGCCCCAAACCCCAACATACAGATCACCGTAATTTACCTGTTGATTTCTTCACTGTGAACTGTGAGACATCTTGCCTCCAGCTGGGGATAAACATTTTGACCAAGCAATTTCTTCCATCTCTTCACTTATGTCTTTCCCGTATGTGTATTTTCTTTTTCCTCAGGATGGGGGTCGCCAGACCATTTGTTGGCAACTTTGCAAGGTGATTTTTTTTTTTTTTTAGTAGAATGACTTCAAAATCTACCGGAGTGGTATAATTTTCCCCTCCCCCTACACAAACAAGTTCTCATTTTTCAAAGGTGATCATTTTAAAATGAAAATGTGCCCTGGGAAGTCACTGTCCAAAACCTCTAATAATGGCACAGATAATCATGAAAAGAAAATCTATGGTGCCTACAGAGAGGCCACCTAAAATCAGGAGATGGTTTTAAAAACAAGCAGTAATTGCATTTCTTCCTGGTAGGTGAAATGGCTCCAGCAGCAAGAAGTTAAACGCAGGGTGAAGAGACAGGCACGGAGTGACCCAAAGACCCTTTACTTCAATGACCCCATTTGGTCCAGCATGTGGTACATGGTGAGTACAGGGTGGGGCCCCTTCCTCCCTGGACATTTACAACACCGTGGCTTTCAGGTGGGTCTGCAGGAAGAGAATATTTAATTTCCGCAACAAAGCTAAGTAGAAACAGATACACTTCGTCTTGATGTGATACCTGACCATCAAAAAGCTTTGCATCCCAAGCTTTCTTATGAATTTTTTCTGAAATTATGTGAAATTCCAAGGAGGGGATCTTTGCACAGGAGAGTGATTCGATGCAGGCTCTAGGACTAACTGACCCTGGGTGGCACAAACAGTTAACGCACTCAGCTGCTGACTGATAGTTTGGAGGTTCAAGTCCACCCAGAGGTGCCTTGGAAGAAAGGCCTGGCGATTTACTTCTGAAAAGAAGATCAGCCATTGGAAACCCTGTGGAGCACAGTTCTACTCTGACACACATGTGGTCAACATGAGTCAGCGTCAACTCAAAGACAGTCAGTTTCCCAGTAGGACTACCTGGTAGGACTAAATTCTGGAGACGACCCCCTGGACAGAGCCCCCTGAGGAGAAAGGATTCCTAGGAAAATGGTACACAAATTGGCATGCGCAGAAACAGCAGATGGAGCGCTCCACACGTACTCCTTCTGGATCTGGGTGGAAAAGTGGCTCTGTGGTACATAAGGCAGGGAAAGTGCCTCCTCCATGCTTTTACAAGCATGAGGTGCCTCTCCCTGAGTTGGCATGGTCTGTGCATTCTGCGTCAGGATCACACTGCCCTGTCCCCGTTGGGACTGTCTCCTTAGCAAAATACCACAAACTTGGTGGCTTATAAGGACAGAAATTTATTCTCTCACAATTCTGGAGGCTAAAGTCAAAACCAGCATGTCGGCAGGGCCATGCTCCCTCTGATGTCTCTAGGGAGAGATCCTTTCTTGTCTCTCTCAAATCCTTTTAGCCCCAGGCATTCCTTGGCTTATAGATACATCTTCACGTGGCCTCTGTGTCTCTTCTCTTTTTTAAGATGGGATTAGGACCCACCCTACTCCGGTATGACCTCCTGTTAACTTCACTGATAACATTTTCCCAGCAAGGTCACATTCACAGGGACCAGGGGTTAGGACTTCAGCACATCTTTTTGGGGGCACACAATCCAATCCCTAACAGGAGTCTGTGTTTCTTCTGTGCATACAGCATTGTAGTGACAAGAACAGGCGCTGTCGATCGGAGATGAACGTGCAGGCTGCGTGGAAGAGGGGCTACACGGGGAAGAATGTGGTGGTCACCATCCTTGACGATGGCATAGAGAGGAATCACCCTGACCTGGCCCCAAACTACGTAAGTCAGGCCTGGGAACCCGCGTACGAGGATAGTCAACTGTGCTGGTAACTAAATAGTATAAAGTAAAAACCAGTTAGGCAATAAAGAAAGCAGCGGTGGGGAGGATTGGTGAAACCAATACCCCTCCCTGCTGGTGCCAGGGAAAGCGACTTTGCAGAGGGATTTGTCCATGTTTGAAGATCAGAAAGAACCACGACACCCCCGACATGGAAATGGTCAGTATATGAATAATAACAACACAAAAAATTACTGGGTTAAAAGCTTGGACTCTTGGCTCAAACTGCCTGGATTCCTATCCTGGCTCTGCTACTTCTTAGCTCTGAGACCTTGGGCAAATTGCTTAACTTACCTATGCCTCAATGTCATTGTCTGTAAAGTAGGGTTAATAATGGGACTACTGTCTCGTATGGATATTGTCAGGATTAAATGAGTTAATAAATACGAAGAGCAAAAAAAAACTAAACTAAACCCATTGCCATTGAGTCGATCCCGACTCATAGCAACCCTATAGGACAGAGTAGAACTGCTCCATAGGGTTTCCAAGGAGCGCCTAGTGGATTCGAACTGCCCACCTTTTGGTTAGCAGCCGTAGCTCTTAACCACTGCACCACCAGGGTTTCCATGTGAAGAGCAGAGCCTGCGTTAAATGTTCTAAGGCGTCTGGGTGCAGAACAATGGTTAAATAAATCATACTGTATCTGTTTGATAGCCAGTTACGCAGCCACTAAAAATGACAGTTTTGAAGACTATGTCACAGCTTTTATGATGTTTTAAAAGAAGACAAAATTATATGAATACTATGATGACAAGTATGTAAACAAAAACATATTAAAAATAAAAGGTGATAGAGTCAGATAATACCATGTGTGTGTTTCTCTGTCTTCCGATAGAAGTAAAAAATCATGTCAAATAGGACTCCATGTGCTGTGTCGTTTGTCTTCACTCTTAGGATTCCTATGCAAGCTATGATGTCAATGGGAATGATTATGACCCATCTCCACGTTACGATGCCAGCAACGAAAATAAGTATGTCAGCTCGTCCCCTCCTTTCTTGTCTCCTTTCTTCTCTCCCTGCAGAATCACTGAGGAGTTTTCACACAGAAATGCTCTAGCAGGGGATCAGCAGGTGGGCACTTCCCTGCCTGCCTGGGGGTAGCTGGGTCTCCTCCAGGAGTCAGAAGCCTCCCCCGTGGCCCTCTAGGCGTGAGGCAGCTTCTGTGGATCCAGCCTCTTCCTTTGGGGGCGTCACCTCTGTTGGTCACCTGGAAATGAGTGTTACAAACCCTGTTCCTGTTTCCAACCTTGTTGGACTACTTGTAAAAATAACCCTTAAATCCAGTGGGTTCCATGACCTGCTGTTTTAAAACAGCTGTTTGCCTTAATCAGAAGAATCCCTGGTGGCGCAGTGGTTAAGCGCTGGGCTGCTAACCAAAAGGCTGGTGGTTCGAACCCACCAGCTGTTCTATGGGAGAAAGACGTAGCAGTCTGTTCCCAGAAAGATTGCAGCCTTGGAAACCCTATGGGGCAGTTCTACTCTGTCCTATAGGGTCGTTATGAGTCGGAAGGGCCCTAGCCGAGCACACAGCTCCTCTGACTGCACTCACAATCTGAAGAGCAAGTGGAGAGAGCACAGGCCTGAGGCTGGCTATGCCTGGATCAGAATCCCAGCTCACTACCTGTGGGCTGTGTGGCTTTGTGCAAGTTGCTTACCCTTGCTGAGTCTCTGTGTCCCGACCTCAGAGATTTTTCCACGGAGATCACCCTGCTCACCTCCCAGAGTTGTGAGGCGTGAAATGAGACGTGTGAGCACCTCATAGGGTGCAGGGCTCTCAGCGGGTGCTCAGTAAATGGTGGTGGTGATTTCCATCCCTGAGCACGTGCAGGCAGTGGGGCTGGAGTGATGAGGAGACTCGTGCAGCATCCAGGATTGCCGCCCTGGGGTTGGAGCCCAGGCTCCCAAGTCCTAGTGCTGTGAGCCCATTTGCTGTGCCCGACCTGTCATTTCCCCTGAGCTCTTATGATTCTTTCACAGATATTCAGAGGAAAATAACAAGAGTCCTGTCTTTTTCCCCACTGTTGGCATGACACTTGCTAAGGCACTTCCTCCCTCTGTGTTGTTGTTGTTAGGTGCTGTCAAGTCAGTTCCTATTTGTAACAACCCCGTGTACAACAGAACAGAACACTGCCGGGTCCTGCACCATCCTCACAAGGTGGACTGTACTTTGAGGAGGCAGCTCTTCCCCAGTCATGCTCCCTCCATGCCGTTCCAGTTTTTGGTGGATTCGAGTCTGTGGCTCCAATGCCGGTGCCCAGATGGTGCTGTGCTGAGAGGCTGGGCTGGGCTCACGTGTTTAACAAAACAGCCCCAGAGGCACCGGCTCTCTTGCTCACGTCCCAAGATGCCTTTCCCACTCAGTGGTGCCAACAGCGCCCAGGGTGAAGGGTCCCTGTGCTCCAGGCCCATGTCCAGGGGGCAGGGGAGAATGACCCAGCTCCACGCACTGACCCTTGAAGGGCAGGACTGACTGCTGGTGTGAGACACTGAGCAACGTGACTGTTAGCAGCCCCGGTCACTGTGCCGTGCGAGCTCTGGAGGATATGGATGACTCTCCTCCAGAGGCCCGGCACACAGACCAGGCGTATTTTTAAAGGCGGTTTTAAATCTGAATCGATAATTGTAATCCCCTGTGGAGTCCTCTCAAAGGCGTGCTGTTTAAAGTCGCCCATACTTTGGCCTCTGCCAGAATTGACACAAGCAGCACATTCGAAAATGGGTCATTACTGAGAAAAGCAATTTGTTTTGGGGTAAGTTCTTCATAGTCCCCTAGGTACTGTTGCATATTCAATTTAGAGCTTTTTCCCCCAGCTCCTACTTAAGCAAGAAGGATGGGAGGCTGCCCTGAGGTGAACATGGATGGACGAGACATAAGTACCATTTGCTCTTTCTTTCATGCTCTCCGTGAAGTCTTTATGATGTCCCTGTATGTGCCAAGCGCTGTGCTAGGCACAGGGGACACGGCGCGGAGGCCAAATGGCCCCTGCCCTCCACTGAACCGTAGTCCAGCATGCCAACAACAGGCACTGTGAAGGCCGGAAGCCCGGGCCCTGGGCGCTTGGAACAGGAGGCCCTGGCTCTGACTTGGGGGTCAGGGAAGGCTTCCCGGAAGAGACAATCCCAGAGCAAGTGCCCACCATCTGAGGGGTGGTGGGAAGGCCCATGGGCCTGAAAGATGTGGTGGATCCAGGGTGTGCTGACCTGGCTGAGCCCTGTTCGTAGCAGCTGTCAGAGGAGGTGCTGATGAGAGGAGCAGAAAGGGGACTTTTCTGTCAGTCCTGGACTTAGGGAAATCCGTCTTGTCGTGCGAGAACTAAGCAACACAATGAACTCGAGAAGCTGCTGGTTCCGGCCCTAACTTTGTTTCCTCCTTTGCTTCAGACACGGTACTCGGTGTGCAGGAGAAGTTGCCGCCTCGGCCAACAACTCGTACTGCATCGTGGGCATCGCGTACAATGCAAAGATAGGAGGTAATGTCCCAGGTGCTCAGCCCGGAAGCTGAGGGGCCGGGAGGGTGCCGGGGAACGTCCTTTCCTGCAGGGCTTCTTGGCGGTTTCAGACCCCAGGCCTGAAGCAGCAACTGCCCCAGCTCACAGCCCAGGCCGCCAGGGCAGAGACATCAGGGCCTCGGGCAGGGGTGAGGGAGTGGGGGTTCCGTCACAGAGGCCTCCTCTCCCTGCCCTCTGGCTCTGCTAGTCCTGCCAGCTTCCACGCTGCTGCCACCGGCCCACTCCGCAATGCCCGGGTGCTGTCCTCTGCTCACAGGCCTGCAGTGGCCCCTCTCGCTTCCAAGACAGAGTTTCCTGTCTTTTACCTAGGACCACAGGCCTTTCCCAGGACTTAACCCCACTTGAGCCTGATCGCCCACTTCGGCACCTGACCCTGAGCTTTAGCTATAGTACCACAGTGTCCCCCAGACACACCTGGTCATCCCTGTCCATACCTGGGCTTGCAACACTCCGCCCCCAGGGGCCCCTCTCTCCCCTCCGTTGGCTCAGTCCTCCGATGATGTGTGGCTAGCTCGTGCCCCTGTGCTCCATGAAGCACCCCCCGGATCCAGCCCGCTCCCCTCTTGTTCGCCAAGAGAGTCAGAGCTCTCCCAGGCATGTCAGTGGGTCATTGTCCTGCCTGCCCTGGGTGTCTCTGCTTGGTTATTTAGCTTTTCACATTTGGGAATCACACTTCCCTTGATGGAGTGGGCTTTGCACAGACAGTACCAGTCATGTCCCACACCTGAGGCTGGCAGGCCCATCAACATGTCTTCCGAGTGCCAGCGGGTGCACATCACTGAGCCACAGCTGAACAGGCACCCCACCTGGCTCTCAGTTTGTGTCTCGGCTTGAAGGCACTTATGCTCACTCAGGTGGCTTCGCTGGGAAGCTGCCTCCCTGGGCAATGGCTGGCCCTCTGCTTGACCTTTGCAGGGGCAGCCACAGCCCCCTCAGCCCCACCTATGAGCCGCACAAGATGGAGAGGGTGGGCCAGGGCTTCCCTGGATCACCCAGCCCTTGGGGAATTTCTTGAGTTTTGAGAAGAGTTTCCCCAGCTTTTACTGAATTAGGACTCTGCCCTTCCCCCAGGAAATCTGTGAAGTGGTTTGGATTTGTAATTATATGACAAAATTAACCCCCAAGGGTGTTGTCTCAGTTAGCTAGTGCTGCTGTAACAGAAATACCACAAATGGGTGGCTTTAAAGAACAGAAATTCATTGTCTCACAGTTTAGGAGGCTAGAAATTTGAATGCAGGGTGCCAGCTTTCTGTCTCTCTGTGTGGCTCTAGGGGAAGGTCCACATCTCTTCCAGCATTCCTCAGGTCCTTGGCAATCGCTATGTGACATCTGTCTTCCCGCAGCTGTGCTTACTCATCTGCGTCCATGCTGCTCTTTAAATCACTCAGAAGTGATTAGGTTTAGGACACACCCCACACTGATGTGTCCTCATTAGCATAACAAAGAAAACCCTATTTCCAATTTGGCTTAGATATAGGGGTCAGGACTTAAACACATATTTTGAGGGGACACAATTCAATCCATAGTGGTGTGTTCTGCAGAGCAAACCTAGAAGCTCTGTTGGCTGGCCTCATTCCTGTGTAGGTGGACAGTTCTTCTATGCTGAGATATAAAAGTTCTCCCTGGAGCCTTTTGTGGTGAGGGAAGACTGAAAAGTCTCCCCAGGAGCTGTCAAATCCGACTGGCCAGGCACCACTCCCGTTTCCACCACCCACTGGCTGTGTGTCCTTGGACGGCAAGGTTTCTTCACCTGTGGAGGGACAGTCAGTGCTGTGGCTGCCTCCCCAGGTCTGTTAGAACAATGATGTGAAGTACCACATGTGACAGCATCTGGCTCCAGGCTGAGTCTGTAGGGAGCCGTTGGGTGCCTCCATCCCTCTTTCTGAAACTCTCAGAGGGAAAATAAAATGATCACTGTTGCCTTGAGTGAGGGGGTGGACCCTATCTTTGGGTTATTTGAACCTTGCTCCTCAAAGTCACTCCCTGGACTGGCAGCATGGACATCACCTGGGAGATGTGAGAAATGCAGAATCCTAGCCCCACCCCAGATGTACTGAGTCAGAACCTACAGAGGGTTCACCAACAAATAACCATTTGAGAAGTGCTGGCTTAGCGGGCTTTCTGGAACCCAGCAGGTAGGTAACATCTACCTCATGGGTCATGAGGAGTCAGTGAAATTCACCTACATAAAAACCTCCCAGAGGAGGTGCACAGAAAATAGCAGGTTGGTATTATTAGATAGCTCTACGCTCCTTGCAAAATTGTATACCTGTTTCCCAAAGTTTAGAGACAGCATTTCCACTTCAGGGCTTGGGAAGAGGACTATTTTTAAATTAATGCATGTGTTGTGTGTCCAGCATTGTGCTAGTCACTGAGTAGGTGAATGAAGGGATGACAGACACAGTTCTGGGCCTCTAGGATCTCAGTCTTTGGGTAAAGGATTTAATGATCCACATCTAATGAATGGCAAATTGATAGCGTGCAACTTCTAAAATTAGGTCTTAAAAGACACTGCTGTTTCCTCCTTTGTTCTCTCTCTTGAATTGCTTGCGATAGGGGAAGTTTCCATGTTGTGGCGACATTCAAACAATCCTATGGCGAGGTCTGCATGATGAGGAATAGAGGACCAAGTACTGAAATGAGAGAGGCCATCAGGAAGCCCCTGAGAGTGGTAGGGCTCAGTGAGGGCAGAAACATGCGTTCTAGCCTCTCTGCCCCGAGAGAAATGGGGAGTGCCCTCAGGGAAGTCACATAAATATGAATCATACCTCGTATGGTTCCCTTCCTTCAAGACTCCAATACCCTGCATGCCTCTGCCTTCTTCTGGTTGCTGTTCAATGCCCTTAAAGAGTTGTTTTTAAAAATATATATTTTGTCCAGAGTTTATAATTATTATCTTTAGAAGTTAGCCTGATATAAGCTACTCTGCCATCATTGGAACTAAAACTTGTGGTATATATTTATTCACCAAATAGGTGGGGTATTAGTTATCTATTGCTGCATGACAGTTACTCCAAAATGTAACTGCTTAAAACAACAAACATTTGTTATCTAACACAGGGTCACTTGTGAGGGTCGCTTGTGAGGGTCACTTTATATATATATATATTTTTTTTTAATTGTACTTTAGTTGGTTTACAGAACAAATAGTTTCTCATTAAACAGTAAGTACACATATAGTTTTATGACATTGGTTAACAACCTCACGACATGTCAACACTCTCCCTTCTCGATCTTGGAGGACCCGTTTTTTTTTTTTGGTGAAAATATACATAACCAAAGTTACACCATTTCAAAAGTTTCTACATGTACAATTCAGTGATAACGATTACATTCTTCCAGTTGTGCTGCTATTCTTACTATCCTTTTCCAAATTATTCCATCACCATTATCTTCA